GACATGTAAAAATCCTGCTGTCCCATGGCATGGGCCGCAGCGCCTTCTTTCCTTCCAGATGTTGAAGTCTTCCGGCCCACGCACAAAACGCGAGATTGACGTCTTCACACAATCAGATATTAACGCACGGGAGATTCCCATCCCATATGAGAGGTTATCTTACTTCTTTCTCGCAATGGACGACTCAAGAATTCGAGGACCCCGAGCCGTCACGTACATCCAGCTACAGAACAGCCCATCGGACTCTGGAATATCAACACAGAGACTTCATGGCTCTGGCGACAACTCAGTAAAAGAAGGCAGCTCGCACACATACGCCCCAGTTCAAGACCATGATGGATCTGCCTCGGAAACTCGTGGCGGAATCTTTCCTTCCAGAGACAGCCTATTGAATAGATTCTGGGCGTGGGAGGTGCTAAGCATCGCCGTTGCTACCATTGCCTTGGCGGCGATGTTCATTACGCTTCTCCTCCACCAAGACCGAACTCTACCCAAGTGGCCTTCGATGATCACCATCAACGCTCTTATTGCCGTGTTTAGCGCGATTTTAAAGGCGTGCCTGATGATGCCGATAGCCGAGGGCTTGAGCCAGTTGAATGTTACGAGCGGGTCAGGGCAACCAACTGTGGCACAAAGCAAAAGCTTCGATAATGACAAATCCGTTGTCATTGTCCCCTGTTCTGCACTATATAGTTACGAGCCTACAGTGACCAACTGTAGCGGTCGTAACATTGAAATGGTTGTGGTACGAAAAGCCAAGGCCTATGAAACACATCGCGCAGTGGGACATGGCAAGTCGAGGTTCGTCCGCTCATCTCATATTTCTCTCGGTTCAGTGACTGCACTATATGATCTCCGGTTCCAACCAACATTTACGGTGTAGCCTCCATGTACTGACGTGCTCCACATTGTAGGCCCGTGGGGATCCCTTCTCCTGATTTTCGTCCTCAGGGGCCGGAATCTGGCCGTGTTCGGCGCCATTCTTACAATTTTCGCCATGGCCGTGGACCCCTTTGCACAACAAATTGTTCATTACTACAGCTGCTCAATGATGGCGCACGACGAGGTTGGAGCAATTTATTCTCAAACAACTACACTGATGGTATCATGGGACGGCCATCGGGCACGCCTGCAATTGACTCACAAATGCAGTCAGCCATATACGTAGGGCTACTTGACCCCCCTGCGAATGTTTCTGCCGCCGTCAGCTACACGTGTAGGACGGGAAATTGCACATTCACGGCTACCGAAGGCGGTGCCACGTTCATGTCACTTTCGCTGCAAAGCCAGTGTACGGACATCAGCGACAAAATATCACATTCATTGAATTCCACCAGAAATTCCAATAACCAGGCCTATACTTACAAGACTGCCAGCTTGTTGGATTATGACATAGCCCTCGACAACATTACGAACAACGTAATGCAGTCGGGTGTACAGCGCTCCTCAAATGGGACACCATCGAATTTCCTCACGAAGATCTCTTTTATGATGGCTTCGACCGTTTCCAAAAAGTCAATGAAGGCCTTTGAGTGCGAATTTTTTCCTGCCGTAACGACTTGGAGCTCCAATGTCACGAATGGCGTTCTCGTAGAATATGTGGTCGAAACACAGCGTATGGATGTCGAGCTTATTCCATTTGCCACACATAGCATTTTCCGCGCCAACAGAACCATCAGAAATGGGGCTTGGCACGAATGCCAAGGACTGTCCGGCCCATCTGAAGATAACAATTTACCGATTATCGCATTTCCCACAGGCCCTGGTACCATTGTTGGATCGGGGTATTTGAGAGAGGTTCTCACAAACAAATCCTCCAATTACTGGAATTACACCACCTGGTGGCCCTCGGACTGCATTTTTTCTATCCCCTACGCCCCAACAGCTGGCTTGGCAGCGGTTATTTCTTCGTTGCTTGGCAACGAAACACTTTGGTGGGATCCATGGACGAGCAGGGCTACAGGCAACCTTTGGTCGGTAAATCTATGGGCCGGCGGCAATGCAACTTGCGATACTGTGCAGCATGCCATGAGAGGCCTGGCTGATTCGATAACAGCACGGTGGCGGAATGGCGATGGAGATAAGAGTATCCGAGTAGGCCCCGCGCGGGGCGTTGTGTGGGAGCAACAAACCTGCGTCCACGTCAACTGGGCATGGCTTTCGTTGCCAGCAGCGATGGTGTTGCTTACAGCGGTGTTCCTTGCTTTGACAGTCATACAAACGAGCTTCAGCGATAGGCCTCCCTGGAAGAGCTCAATGCTGGCAACACTTTTCAACGGACTGGATGAGAAGACAAAGGACGCTGCAGGGCCGGTGATGAGCTTGCAGGAGATGCAAGTCGCTGCAGATACGACCAACATGCGGCTTAAAATGACTCAAGGGGGATTTCGTCTTGTCGGTTCAAGTTAGACTTCGCTTAATTTGACGCCAGGCATTGTAGTCAGAGTCACTTAGGTCAGCCAAATTTACCTTGATCGATATTCGACTCCGAGCCGGATCTCTATCACTTGCAGAGCCGGTAACGCAGTCTCGGCCTTTACAAAATACCACCTTGTCATCTGCGGATACGGTAGGATATATACATCGCCCGTGTAGCTACATGTGTTGCATCAATTTCTTTCTTGGGTTGTTAGTGTCTACAGGTATACACAACATCTTTATCATCTGACCAGACTCAGTCTATCTCCGCTATGACGAACCAAATAACTTCAATTCAGAATCTACTAGACGTTAGGTATTTAAATGACAACAACACGGTACAAGTTTGAATGTTGCCCATGGAGCCTGACATCACGTGTGTGACTGTGTGTACTTCATGCTGGACTAGATTACACATGTTGCCCACGCCAACACGGAACGGTTACTCCCCAGACCATTCTTCTCTTTTCATCACGCCCCTCGTCCATCTTTCCAGCTCTTTTGGAAGCCCCGCATCCTTTGCTGCGCTACTCTGCCATCTAGGCTCTCCGAATCGCCGGAATATTCCCAAGTAGCCACCGGCTTGTTCAGCTTCCATTTCCTCGCTTGCCGCGCAGAAGACGCTATTCCAAGAACCTTTGTCAGCTGGCCATACGAAGCCAAGCACTCGAAAGAATGAGAGAACAATCATTATGATCGACCGTGACTCCCTCGCCGGGGCTGCGATGTTTGTTTCGACCATACCAGGGTGCACGGATGTAACCGAGATCTCGCCCTCTTCATTTCGTGCACTGCGAGAGCCGGGCCCATATCTCTCATGCAGAGACTTTGTATGCAAAATGTTGGCGAGCTTGCTCTGTCCGTATCGTGTCCAGGTTTTCCCTTCTCTTAGGGATGGGTCGTTGAAGTTAATCCCGCCCTTGGGTGCTCCCAAGTGACCCGATGAAGTAATATTGACGATGCGTACGCTGCCCGGGGCGAGATTTTTAGATGTTTGTAGCATCAAAGGAAGCATATGTTCCGTCAAGACCCAGTGAGCGAGGTAGTTGACTTGCCACTGGGCCTCGTGTCCATCCTTGGTTATCTCGAAGGGTGTCGCCATGATCCCTGCATTATTGACCAACCCATGCAGCGTTGTTTCGAGAGGGAGGAAATTTTTGGTAGCTGCAACAACGGTGGCGAGGTCCGTCAAATCCATTTGCAAGAGGTCAACGTTCGCCGAGGGGCATTTTTCGTTAATCTCAGCGATTGCCCGTGCACCCTTCTCCAATGACCTGACGCACATGTAGACATGAGCGTCATGTTCTGCAAGGCGAGCAACGGTGTGGTAGCCTCTTTAGTTTTGTCATTAGTTGACCGATTCTCTTGTGGGAAAAAAAGAAAGCGACTCACATGCCAGAGTTCCCCCCTGTCACTATAAATACCTTGCCCTCGAGATCAGGGAGACTGTCTGGGTGGAACGCCATCTTTGGAAAAGAAACTTCAGGCGTAGTGTGGCGTGGAAGTGTGATTGATTATTGCAATGCTTGCGAACCAACATCCAGGCAAGCTTTTGTAATTTGTCCTGGTTCTTATAGTTCTTGTCGTGAGTGACGAAGTTGAGTGTGGGACGTTATTGCCATTCCGGCAGCACCGGGCGTTGTGAGCCACTTGCATGACTTCCAGATCAGTAATTGTATGTTGATGTCAGATTTCTTGCAATCAGATGTCGTGGGAGAATTCCCAGGGGGTTTGTGAGCCACCTGCATGGAGTCAGCGGTTCTATGCCGAACTCCCCTCGACATAATCGGGCTCGGCGGAAGCACCATTCAAAGACGACGTGACTGGAGTCGTAATCCCGTTCTTCCCCAGAGTCAATGTGAGCAGGTTGCATGACGCTAGACCACTTGTGGTCCGAAATGGCAGCATCGACAAATGACGTTCCATATTTCCTAGTAGACTGTCTACCTGCGCCTCATCCTTTGCCAAGGAGTAAGCGTATATAAACCCGCACTTCAGTGACACCCATGAAACCTATTTATGTGAGCAGGCTGCATTGCAAGACCTTCGGGCCTCGACCAACTTACATTATTCACCAACAATCTCACCATGACCCAGGACATTAGCTCGGGCTATGATGGACACCAATCAGGCGACAAGTTTAATGGTACCGCACATCCAACTCGCTTCGATGCCACAACTAGCTGAGGTTCTTGTGACTCAATTTTTGAAGATGACATGATTCGCTCATTGCTTGTAGGCGAAAACCACAGGTGACGACTGGACTGGAACAAAGGATGCCGCAGCGCGCCGTCGGGCACAGACAAGACTTAACACGAGGGCATATCGTGAGTATCAACTAGCATCCTAATTTCCGTAGGAAATCCATCAACGTTAAACAAATTAGGAGGGACATTTGATCAAATTGGGTTCGGTATCGAGACTGAGAGCCAGTGTAGGTAAACGCAAATCCCTTGGGGAAAAGGCCAAAGCATCTACAACCACAAGCTGCTCATTGATTGAGCCCGAGGCGTCTGTTGAATGTTGGGATAATCAGCAGGAGTCCGTGTGCCTCGTTCCATTGTCGCGGATCAAGCAAAGCTATGATGCGAGAAAACTCCTGCTATCCGGAAGGTCTACAGGCCGGCAGCTCAATGTTGTTTTCCCTCTCTGTCCAGACCACCTCATCACACTCCTACAGTTCAATGCCCTACGTGCACTAGCTGTTAATCACACTCTGATCTCAGGCATCCTCGACGCGCCGCTTGAATGCGACGAGGAGCTGATTCACATTATGCCCTACCCTTACAAACCACAGCTTCTCCCTAAGGCGCTCCTGCCCACCGTCCTTCAACAAACGGTGCCACATGGCGACTGGATTGATCTTTTCCCCAGTCCCGAGGGAAGAGATCGTCTGATTCAGGCTTCTGGCACCTTTGACGAGGACGAGCTGTGGGCGGACTGCATCGGTGGTTTGTACGAGGGCTTCCCCGACGACGAGATCAAACAACGTGGCATTATTGCCTGGTCACCACCATGGGAAATCACCGGATGGGAGATGTCAGAAGGATTTCTGCATAAGTGGGGGTGGCTTTTCAGAGGACTGCCGGGGGCGTTGCAGGCGACAAATCAGTGGCGGACGGAGCGAGGCGAGCCCCCATTGGTTTAAGATGACAGCACGAAGTGACGACGGTGCTTTCTCGTATTTCTCATCTCTCTTTAAGGTCTTTATATCCCGTTTCACCAAAATTAAAAGGTCTGCTCGTTTAGTTATGCCATTCCATTGGTACGGGACAACTGTCAAAAAATATCTCTGGCAGCTTGGTTGGCCTGGACCTGTGACGCTGCCTCGATTGAGGACCAACATCTCATAAGAGAAGAGCCACTGTCCTATTGAATGCCTCAAATTTCTGTTGCTTCATTTCTCATGCCTAAAGGCTAAACTCTGCGGAAGCGTTCAAGAGGGGGTTTATTTCTCTCCAAAATATTACAAAATATCTCATTGACACCTTAGACCTCAAGTATGACTTCCAAAGTAGATAAACATTGGTGACCATGCCATCCGCGAACTAGGCAGCTGGGGCTTGGACCACGGCCAGTGTAACCTCGTAGCAAGGACGGTCTTCACGGACGGCTTGATGAATTGTTAGCCAGCTTGCTTGTGTGGAACTCGAGAAATACTTACCAGTATTGCCGGGGGGAGAGTAGCGGAACTCGTGTCTGTCGCCGGACGCACTTCTCACACAAATGAAGCCACCTGGAAGGGCAGCCCTTGATATAAAGTCCAACTCAAGCTGCACTGCATCCGTATCGGGGTTGCAACCATAGACAGGCTGAAAGTAAGCCTTGGGGTCGCCGCGTTCCGTCATAAACAACTTAGTGGTGTTGTCATCCGCAGTGTACTATGACATCTTGATTAGCCTTCAATATTGAGGCAACATGCGACGAACCTACCTCTCCATTGATGACGGCATGAATAATGCCGCGAGAAATGACGCCGTTGTCAAGAGTAAGGTTGAACGCTGCATCTCCAGCAGGACTAAGATAGAGGTGCTGGTCGCCTCCACCCGCCGACCAAAGGTTCATATAGCGGTTGTGAACAATGGGTGCAGCGGGATTCTGGACCTGAATGCCGAAGCCAGTGGTAATGTTGTTGGATACAGGATCCGTCGGCAGGGTGCACGCCGAGACGCTGACTGCAGCTGCCAGAAGCTTGAGCATCAAAGAAGAAACCATTTTGTAAGAGGCCGGTGCACTTTCAAAGGACAGAATGCATGCATCACTCAACGTTGACACCACGGGGGTTTTTAAAGTTGATATACAAAACATCGAGCTATCGTGCCACAACTCTGCACGCCAAGACATTGACGAATACGAGATATTGTTCGCACTCGTTGCATCGCGTGGCTGCGAGTCTCTTCTTCCTGGGGTCTAGATTGGCTTTGAAATCGATAAAAACGCACAGTTCCTGCGTGATGGACGCGGGATACTTGCCCATGGTCTCATAGCTGGAAGTCACTGGTGCTTACAAGCTGTAGTACCCCTGAAAATCTACCCTGTCAATGTTACCCTCGGCGCTTGATATCGGTTTCCGCCTTCCGCATTGAGGGCTAGTGGTACTGCGTGTAAGACTGGCGGCCTGCAGCCTTTGCGGAGTACCCAACGGTCCATCCCTCTCTACGTATGCAAGGTCCCATGTGTATGCAACATTTATTGGGTGACAGCCTTTCGGCCGCGTTCTCTCGGATTTAATGACCTTGGCTGGATGACTACCGCCTATGCAGCTAATGCTAATAAGTTTGCTTGGGTTTGGCTTTTCACGTGTATTGGCCCCAACGTGAGTGTATAACTCATAGGGCGGTCAAACTCGAACTGGCTCAAAGCAGTTGAATCTGTTGTACCAATAGCTTTTCACGAAATCAAGAAATTGAGTGGGAATTTCGTCTCATATACAGGGAAAGTTCATCCAAAAAGGTTCTTGTGTCTGTTGCCATAGGGGTTTCTTCGTCTTTATGAACACATCAATTGGCATTTCCTCCCTCGTTCTCATTCGAAACACCCCACATCGATTTTATCCCCATGTATCATCCGTCGACAAGCGACCCAAGTTAATTTCTGACTCCCGATGGCGTTTAGGAAATTCCCCGCCAATTCTTAATCCACGCAAGCACCGCCAAGATGGGCTGATGCAAGGCCGTTAGTTTCACTCAGAATACTAATAGGGGTTGTCTAGACACGGCCGCCTACGGCCGGGGTCTCACTTGGTTCGATCCATTGAATCTAGTGTATGAGAATGAATCATAGATGAAGTTTACTCTTACTGATGTGTACCCCTGGTGTGGAGGAAGATGGTTCGCCTTTCCTGTGGATGGCTGTTTAGTTACGCTTCGCCATTGTGGTGCTGGGCGGCGAAATTCGGACTCTGCAACCTCCTCGTGGTGCCGCCTGGGAACCTATCTTTTCTAAAGGTAGAGCCAGTGCAGAGACGTTACGGCGCGCAAGTGCAAGTGGTGGCGGGCGCTGCGCACGAAGCTTTTCTGGTG